GAGTTCAGTTAAGCATAGCCAGGTTCTCTAGCCAGGTTCTCTAGCCAGATTCTCTTTATTCTCCTGTTACATCTGTATTTATACCATTTGATTTTAATCCTATCCATTCTATTCCAAAGGTTAGGGCGTTTGTTATCTCCATTCCAAGGTCACTACTCTATTGTTCTGTTAAGCTACAAGGAAGTAACTGAAGGAGATTATCCTAAGTAAAGATTATGTAGCTTAAGCATGATTGTTCGTAGTTAAAGTGATTAATTACCCGCCTGGCACTTAGTTAAGGGGTTTTATTCCCTTCCTTAGTCCTGTAAATCCCTAACTCCAGGGAAAAATCTCCACCTGGGAAAACAACCTTTCTCGGAGAGGTGACCTTGGTTAAAACACATAGCACTAAGAAGGGGAGCAAATATATTAAGAACAGTATGCCATATACGCCAGGTCCCTTGAAACATATGCTGTGCAGATGTTTCTTCCCTGCAGCGACTGTGTCAAGCAGCAAGGATGGACCAGCTTCCGGCAAATTCCCCCTTTTTTATTTTTTAAATGATAGCGCATGTAAATCAGCAGCCACCTGTCGGATTGGGTTGTTTAAGACTCAGAAGAAGACTTGTTTGTGACTTTGCCAACAGGTCAGTCCGAGGCTTAACCCTATATTGGCTCCCCACAGAGATGGCCATGGTGGTGGCGGCTGTCTGGCCCTCTGCACAGACCCCACGTCTCCCCCCAGAACCCTCTCCTCCTCCCTGCCTGCAGGGGCAAGAGTTCTCAGTGACCACCTTCCCTGATAACTTCTTGGGGCTGTTGGCCCTGGGGTTGGGGCCAGCGAAGGGTCCTGGGGTAGAGGCCAAGGGTAGGGTCTCTTATGACCTGAGTAGCTTTAACTTTTCTCAAAACCACTGCAGACTGTGGTTGCAGTGTGACTCTCGGGCCCAGGAGGGACGGAGCGATGGTCCCGGGACAGGTGAGACCTTGGGCACGAGGTGTTGGAACTGTCGAGTCACCTGGCAGAGCGTGGACAGACCCAGGCCTTCTCCTGCCAGGCCTCGCCCTGTGAGCTGCAGCGGTGGCACCTGCTGTCTCTGAAGACGCAGGCCCAGGCTCTGGGGCGGGGCCACAGGTCAGCCTCAAACCCCTAGAGCAGTGACGGCGAACCTTTTGAGCTCGGCGTGTCAGCATTTTGAAAAACCCTAACTTAACTCTGGTGCCGTGTCACATATAGAAATTTTTTGATATTTGCAACCATAGTCAAACAAAGACTTATATTTTTGATATTTATTTTATATATTTAAATACCATTTAACAAAGAAAAATCAGCCGAAACTGGTTTGGCTCGGTGGATAGAGCGTCGGCCTACGGACTGAGGGGTCCCGGGTTCGGTTCCGGTCAGGGGCATGTGCCTGGGTTGCGGGCGCATCCCCGGTGGGAGATGTGCGGGGGGGCAGCTGATCGATGTTTCTCTCTCATTGATGTTTCTGGCTCTCTGTCTCTCTCTCCCTTCCTCTCTGTAAAAAATCAGTAGAATATATTTAAAAAATATATATATATATTTTTAAAAAGAAGAAAAAAAAAAAGAAAAATCAACCAAAAAAATGAGTTCGCGTGTCAGAGGGGCCCCTAGGGTTCACCATCACTGCCCTAGAGTGTGTCTGGCAGAGAGAGAACAGCGTAGTTTATAGGACATATCTCTCTTGAGCGTCTTCCCTGGCCTGGGCACTGGGGACCAGCACGAGCTGATGAACCAGGATGGGGGGCAGCCCCAGGCCATTTGGGGATCTGTTCCGTCCACGGCCCCGTGGCCACTTCAAGGATATTGATGGAGGGAACAGGCAGGCGATGAACAGAGGGAGACAAACAAACTTCCAAAGCTTGAGGACCCGCCACCTCCCTCTTCAGTGCTGGCAGTGGTGAGAAGCCGAGATCTTCTCAGTGGCTCCCAAGGCCCCACGTGATTTGGCCCCAGAGCCTCCAGTGTGGCTTACTCACACGCTCCCCACTCATTCCAGCCACCCTGCTGGCCTCCCACTGCTTCTTGCACCGTGTGCCTCAGGGCCTGTGCACGGCTGTTCTCGGCACCTGGACTGCTCGCCCCCACGTGTCCTTTTGTGTTCCTTGCCCCTCAGGTCTGTGCTCAGGAGAGGCCTGCTCTGTGCACCCTCCCCTCCTCGGCTGCGTTCATCTCTGGCTTGTCCCCTAGATCGGTCTTGTTTATAATGATACGACTTCCTGTCTGTCTCCCTCCAGGAGGGAGCGTCTGGTCGGTTTTCTTTACTGTTATACCCAACACTGAACCCTGCCTGGCATGTAGGCCCTGGTGCGTTGGGGTAATTAAATGGCCAGGGCGGCACGCAGGACGCTCCCTCCGCTGGCCCCTGTGGTCCTGTTCTGGGCGCGTTGAATTACCCAGCAGGTGTGGGAGCCGAGACCAGAGTCCCACTGTACGGCCAGGGCAGGCGGCAGTGGGGCCAGAGCTGGGCCCGCCCACCAGAGCAGCCGTCAGGCCTGGAGAGGGGATGCAGGGGCCCCTAGGGCCACCCTCGGCTGGACCTAGGGGGAAGGTGTTCCAGGCAGAAGAACTGCCTTGGGAGAGGCCCGGAGGCAGGAGGCAGCGCAGAGACTGGTCTGAGGCCTGGGTTCCCCTTCACCTGACTCACTGGGGTGTGGACCCCTGGGTCTGAGTCTCTGCCTCTGCAAACAGGGCGGTGGCCTGCAGCGTCACCCCTGAGCGTCAGGGGAGAACCAGAAAGCCCCTGACGGGGTGGGCCGTGTTCCCGCACGCAGTTCGCTGCATCCCTCAGCCTTCAGGTTTCCGTTGGTGACATCGCAGGCCCCGGCCCAGGCAGCAGGGAGCAAATTATGGTGCTTTAAAGTGAAAAACACGTGAAATACAATTTGCTTTTCATAATCACACTTGGCGTTGACATGTTTTCCTTTAGGGACAGCAAATTGTGTGTTCTGATCTCAGGGCCCTCGCACTGGCTGTGCCCTCTTCTCGTCCTTCCCTGCACCTCTGGCGAAATGGCCCTCTGTCCCCTGATCAGCTTAGTTCCTTCATCCATCACAGCTCCCTGAAGGCAGACCGTGGAGCTGTCCTCAGCTACTCGTTCTCCCCACACTCGGCCATCAGCACCCACATTGCTCACCTGGACTAGTGCGGCCGCCACGCCCCTCTGCTCATACAGCCAGAGGAGGGTCACGAGACACGGGCACCTCCTGTCCCTCCTCTGCCAAGGACCCTCCATGGCTCCTGCTCCCGGTGGTTGCGAGGCTCTACGGGCCTCCTCCCCCATCACCCCTGCCCTCCCCTCATCTCCTCCACCCTCTTGCTTGCCCACTCCTGCCTCAGGGCCTTTGCTGGCTTCTCTCAGCCTGGGACACTGCTCCCCAGACAGCACACGGCCCGCTCCTCTTCCTCCTGCCTCCTCTCCGCCCACCTGCCTGCTTCTCTGCTCTGTTTCCTCTTCTCGTGTGTCCACCAGCACAGGACTCTTGTCTGGCCTGCTTATTGCTGTGTCCTCAGCACCTGAAACCGCGCCTAGGGCACAGCAAACAGCTGATAAACGTGCCTGGAAGTGCACATGCTGCACCAATGGGGGGATGGGGGGCTGGGTAAGTAGATGGGCAGGCAGAGGGGAGATGGATGGATGATGGATGGGTGGATGGATGGACGGATGGATGGATGTGGTTGGATGGATGGATGGGTGGATGGATGGATGGATGGATATGGTTAGATGGATGTGGTTGATGGTTAGAAGGATGGTTGGATGGATGGATGATGGAGGATGGATGGATGTGGTTGAAAGGATGGATGGATGGAGGATGTGGTTG